AAGTAAATTCATAATCTCAGGTTGTTCTGTCCCACATCCAAAAGCTGTGTTTCGAGAAGGCCACGTGTGCTTTCTATGTGTGCCCTGCCTGTTACTGCACGGCCGTGTGGATTTCCATGTGGCTGTTTCACACCTCCTGGCCAGCTAGGCTGAATCTAGATTTTACAAAAAGTTCCTACACCATCAGCTCAGATCTGCTCAGCCCAGAAGAGGCCAAGTGATTGAAACACAGTTAGGAGCTGGTGAGCTAGGGTGGCAGGTGGCCACCTTAGGAGGCGTGTTCAAGGTCAACTTGGACTCCAGGTCTCTCTTAGCCTTTGGCTTTCAGTTTAAATCAATCCTCAGAGGGAGGGCAAACATAGGACCTGCGCGGCATCCACATGGTCCCCTTCTTTCCAAATGACACATAGTACTGATAACTGTTCTTTAGAAACCAAAATACACTGTTTCTCTGACCGCTAGTTCAAGTGGACTCTTTATCTGTTCAGTGTGACAGGTTCATCTGGGCCACTCTTTCTGGTTGGACCCAGCTCTTGGCCATGAGGTTGATGTCATCCTGGTAAAATCCCCAGCAGGTAAGAGGCCATAAGCTTTGGTCTCACCTCAAAGAAGGGGTGAGAAGCTGATATCTTTATGGAACACTTACTGGTGCCTGGTGGTTTGCTAAGTGTTTTGACAGGCAAAGTGGACAGTGAGAGAGAGAGAGACAGAGAGAAAGGTCTTCCTTTTAGCCGTTGGTTCACCCTCCAATGGCCGCCGCGGCCGGCGCGCTGCGGCCGGCGCACCGCGCTGATCCGATGGCAGGAGCCAGGAGCCAGGTGCTTTTCCTGGTCTCCCATGGGGTGCAGGGCCCAAGCACCTGGGCCATCCTCCACTGCACTCCCTGGCCACAGCAGAGGGCTGGCCTGGAAGAGGGGCAACCGGGACAGAATCCGGAGCCCCGACCGGGACTAGAACCCGGTGTGCCGGCGCCGCTAGGCGGAGGATTAGCCTAGTGAGCCGCGGCGCCGGCCTGCTAAGTGTTCTTTTAAAAATAGACAAAAAGCCTTCACAATAAATGGTGCTGGAAAAATTGGACATTCACAGGCAAAAAAGAACCTCAACTTAAACCTTACTTTGTATAAGAACTCAAAACAAGCCATAGACTTCAATGTACAACATAAAGCTATAAAACCTATAGACAAAAACATGGAGGAACATCTTAAGGATCTCAGTTCTTAGACTTGACACAAAAAGCACAATGCATAAAAGGAAAACATGGGTAATCTGAACTTCATCAAAATGAAAATCTTTTTTCCATGAAAAGTCCCTGTGCTGGGGATGAAAAGTCAAGCTAGAATAGGGAGGAAATTTTTACACACCAATAAAGGACTAGAATACGTATAAAACTGTCAAAACCATAATAAATCGAATAAGAAAATGGATCCAACAGAAGTTTTATCAAAGAAGATATGTAATAGGCTAATAAGCACATGAAAGCAGGCCTCAGCATCATTAATAGTTAGGAAATGCAAATGAAAACCATGATGCAATATCGCTAAACTGAAATCAAAGTGTATAGAATAAAAGGAAAAATATTGTACCACCACCTGCCGGTGAGGGTGTGGCGAAACTGGACCCTCATGCATTGTTGATGGGACGAGAAAATGGGTCTCCTCCCCTGGTATCTCATTGTGTCTATGCAAAACCCAAAACAACCCAAGCATTTTAAACAACAGATATTCAACATGTACTCCAGTTCTATAGCTATGTATTTAGTCTGTGAGAGTGCCTACTGTGTGGCAAGCACTATTTCAGGGACTTGGCGTACGTCAGTGAACATATCACCTCCCATCACAGATCACCTTCTATGCTTAGTGGTGTTGCCTGATCCAGAAGATTCTTAACTACCAGGACCCAAGAATACATTTCCATACTGTACACTGTTGACCCCATGACCCCAGACAGAAATGCAAACCTCTGGGGTGAAGCTGTGCGGCTGTGCATGCAGAAGGAGAGACAGCACTTTGGATTTCAGACTACAGATGATTTTACCCACAGTGTGGCCGGGAAAGAAACCTAAGATGGGCAGGCTGTCAGGCCTAGCCGCTGAGTTGGATCAGGAAAGTGAGCTCCAAACCAAGATGAAGGATTGGCAGTATGACCCTTGAAGATGATTCAAGTTAGCCTGGGGTACCCTCTCTATTTTCCACTCCCTAACTGGGATTAGCTTTGTAGTCTTCCATAAAAGTAGAGAAACTGGGGGCTTTCCAATCCTAGCCTGGCTGAATACTATTTCAAGACAAATCCTAGCAAGATGGCCTTGATCGGAAAAGAGAAAAAGGAAGACAGAAAATAAATACACCTGGAGACATGGGTCTAGGCAGGAGACAGTCTGTAGTATTTGCCTTGTTTGTAAGACAGGAAAGTAGAGGGATGGGATTTTCTCAGAATGCTAAAAGCACTATGCAGATGAAGATAAAATATTAAAAGGGAAGCTGCTGGTCACTGTCTCTCCCAAAAGACTCCTAAAGGTAAGTGAATGAGGCAAATGTATTAATGTTAGTCCCGATCCAGGATTCTTAACCATGTGAAATTTTTAGGTTCCTACAGGCGTTGAGGGTTCTGAGAACAAACATTGAAATGTCTTTGGACTCAGTTATGGAAAGGTTCGGCAATCTTTTTTTAACAGTCTTATAAACAGCTGTGTTTAGTTCCCAATGATCCGCCAGTGCCTCTGTGACACATCGACAATAGTATTTGGCCACTTGCTATAAATCTGGGCAAGAAATACAGGCACCTCCTACAATTAAATGGAAATTTTGGCTTGGGCAAAGGAATCTCCTTTCTCTAATATGCCAGCCCTGTGGCAAAGTCCTTCAGTCAAAGGAAAACGTATCCCACAGAAACAAAGATCCTATTTCTAAAAGGCTGCCCACAACTGCTTTTGAATCTCACCTGCCATTCAAGTTTTTCATTGTCCCTTGAGTGAGAGGTCAGCTCTGCTAGTGAGCACCACCAGGTGAGACACGGTCCCTGCTCCCTACAGAAAATGCAAGCTCTTGGGTTTGCTTTTGGAACAATGATGAGATATGGGATCAGTGCTTTAGTCACACCTCCAAAACCTGGTCAGATTTTGAGCTGATAGCCGGTGTGGCAGAGATGTGAGGGTACTTCAGAGAGTTCGAGAAAAAATAGAACTGAATTGAAAGCTAGGTTTACTTTGTGCAAAAAGCTTTTTGAAATCTTTAGTATGCATTTTCTATGACCTCTTTGGAGACACCTCATAGGCATGGGCTTCCAAATTTGGAGCATCAAAGTTAACTTGTATTTTAGTCCCATTTTCCGTAACCTTTTGGAGGTGCCCTTGTATATTCATGAATGCAAGAGATCCCCACAAGAAGTTCCGGAGAGTGCTCAGGACGGGTGACCTTGGCCCTGACACGGCCGGGTTCTTTGGGCTGCATCACTAATAAACAGGGAGGCTGGAGTTGACTGGGCTGCTCCGTCTCGGAATTCAGTTTAGGGTACGAGCTGAGCATGGAAAGGGGGTTCCTTCCGTCAGCTAGAAATTGCCTCCCACAAGGGTGGCTCTAAAACTCGCGTTGTCGATTGCCCCCGTCCCTCCACTTACTCCTTTTGGGCCCCTTAATCCCACCCCCTCCCCCATACCTTTAACCTGTCCTAAATGAATAAACAACTGTAAAGGCACTGAGGTGAGTCAGGAAGATAATTGATGAGCAGAGAAGGAAATGTTCCATTCACTGGTAGGAAATCAATTCATGCTGCCACTGCATTTTGCACGCGCATGGAAAACCCAGCTCTGTAAGCTTGTCTGTAGCTGTCGGAGTGTGAGCTGCTCCGTGGTGTGTGGGTTAAAGACTGAAGAGGACCAAACTGGCTCTCCTGCAGAACGTGCAGTAGAAATGCAGCTTTTCTCTGGCCACTGTGGGAGTGTGCTCGGATCTGGAGATCCTTTGGTTATTTTACCACTGGGTCTTTGGAAATCAATGTATTTTTATTATTTTTTTTTTATTATTATTTTTTATCTCACAGAGAATTCAATGACTTGACACTTGGGAATCCCTCATTTTCCTTGGAACCTAGGCAGTCTTTACCATAAAAATAATATTAAGTCCTTACCACAAATTTGAAGAGGTACACAACCTCCAATGAAGATAATCGATGACTTTTTAAAGGCATTCATTTTCAAAAGTCAACCCTTAGCCATAGGACGGTATCAGCGCAAAATCCACTTACAATTCAAAATATATATAAGTTGTGTATCAAGCATAACTTCCTTTGCATGATAACTATTCCCATGAATGTAATTCCATCTCTTTAAAATATATCCCCGAGTCAGTATTAGAGGAAAATAAATTTACTTCCTGGTGAGTTTTTTTAAGCCTTGCTTTGTGGTCTAAGAAAAGCAAAATAAAACAAATGTTCAGTCAGAAACACCCCCACTGGCACAGCAAACCCTGCTTTGTCTACCTCCCTCAGCACCATCGGGAGAATTCTGCAAGTCTTTTGGAAACACTGAAATCTTCCATTTGCGCGATGAATTCTGATGAAAGCCAGAACTTGCTGTCTTCCAAGGAAACCCCCAAAAATGACTAAAAAGAAATGTTCCCCCCTTTTTTGAGGCTACACCCAAAACATTTGCTGGGGAAACTCTGAATAGTGGCATTGCCTGGTAAAATGCATGCGGTAGACAAAGTCTCAGGTTTCTTTCTCCAGCTGTCCAGGAGCCCATCAGTGGCTCTCACTCCTATCGGCCTCTTGCTATAATTAGGATGGCTGAGGGTTTATCTGGGTCTTTTTACAAAACCAGATTTCCTTCCTCCAGCAGCAGCTGTCATTCACAAGTGCCCTGACGGTCTCTGGAGACTCACTCTGATTTACACGATGGCACGGCCACCGTGTCCGTGCCGTGAAGGCACACTCATTCACGCACACGCACACACGCACACACACACGCACACCTTTTGCCTCGTGACTTGGAAAGCGAGGAGTCTTACCTGAAGAGGATCGCTGTGGTCTGGAACCTGGCTTCTTTCCTTCGGGTCATTCCCCTGCATCTGTTCTCCTGCAAGGCTTGCATCCCTTCCTTGGGGGAGTGAGGCTGCGGGCGTGGGAAGGGGTTTGGCGGCTCGCTGTGTCTGGGCTGGTCTAGCACGTTCTCCTGCACGGACACAGGCAGTCCCGGCGGCAGCGTCTGCCCTGGCGAGGGGAGCCCCTCTCACAGCACTCCAGATCGGTGGGTGCTCAGCAGCGTCCCAGGGATGGAGGAGATCCGGGGACTCCGGGGCGCTTTCTGGCAGGTTGGCGCTCAGCGGCCTGGGCCTTCCCTTGGTTCCTAGGCGCCTCCCCCTGGGAGGTTTCTGGGAGCCCTGCTTGCTCCCCGAGTCCCTTTCCCCCACAGTCCCCGGGCACTGCATCATCCCCGACCCCCCAGCCCAGGGCTCCGACTCCTTCTCTACCACTGCTCTCTCCGTGGTTAGCAGAATGTCGCCGGGCAACTCCTCTCCCGCTTCGTGGCTGTCTCTGGTTTCTCCTTGAATTCCTGGATAATCATTTTCCGCAGCCTCGGAAGCCGTGGGGGGTGCCGCAGTGCTCCCCTGTTCCTTCCGCGGGGCCGGTCCTGCGGGGTGAGGTCTCAGCGTACCCAGGGCCGGGGAGCTGGGCCTGCAGGCGCCGCTGCTCCTCGTCCCCACTTCTTGGGGTTGTGAGTGATGACCACAGAAGCCAGCAGTGGCATCCATAGGCCCGGTGTCACCCGACACCCGAGGCCCACAACCCATTACACTTAGGAAATGCTCACGCCCACCCAGGCCACACTCACTGAATTCCACCTCTTCGTCATCGCTTTCTAATAAAAAAACATGGTCAGTCCCCTGCAGGTTCCTTTGCCAGACTGCATTAGAGTAATCCGTCATAACATCGGAACATTCCAGATACTCCAGGTCATCATCTGAAAACTCCTCCGTGTAGGTTAGGGTTATCTCTGGGCAGAGTTCATAGTCACTGTCAGAGTCTTCGCTGGAAACTTGTGGGCTGACTTGCTCGTGGCCCGGGGCGCTGGCTCTTGGGTGAAGGCATTCGGTCACCTGGGAGAGTGGGAGGCTGCAGCTGATGTACTTGTGTGCTTTGGGCTGTTGATGACGGGAGGCTGACTCTGCATCGCTGGGGCCACTGGCATTGAGGCCATCACCCATCGGCTGTGCTACTTGGGAATGCCCCGTCTGGGGACAACACTCATCTTGTTTGTCGGGAGTATTTGTTGAATGGAGAAAACACAACCCATCTAGCAAGTCCTCTGTGTTACTGTTTTGCCTCGCGTCTTTAACATCCGGGACAGTTTCAGAACTGGATGCATGAGTGGCGTCCGTGGCCCGTAGCTGGAGTGAGTGTGGACAGTTGAGTTTGTGGGGGTCGGAACCAGCGGTCAGGGGCGTACCCCGAGAGATGCTTCCTTCCTCCTCCCAAGGGCATTCTTCCTTGTCAGTTTGATTTGCACTTCCCTCTTCATGTGTCCCTGTTTCCTGTTCCCAACCTGCGTCCCTGTCACCTTCCAGGGTAGAAGAGAGTTGGGGGTTCTCTGTTGAGCACTGGACCTCAATGGAAGCAGAGCAGCAGATCATCCCGGAGCAGTTCTTAGCCGTGACCTGATAAACAGCAGCATCGTCTGTGGTACAGCTGGGAGGACAGGAAGACAGGTGAGTTTGCCACGCCTGCACGTGCATGCCCGCATTCCCCATGCGGTGGCCTGCAACCAAAACGACCATTCTTTTACTGCATCCGGCTAAGGGTATGCAGGTCCCAGGCCACAGTGGAGAGAACTCTGGGAAGCCCCCACCTTCCCCTTTGCAGCTGCCCACAACCTTCCTCCAAACTGGCAATGTTGAGATGTGTTTCGATGAATGGGGGAAATGTTTTCTATTCTGTTGTTTTAAGTCATCGTTACGCTATGGTCATTCTTTTTCTGGAGTGAGATGTTGTGCACAAATCACTAATGCATTCTGCTTCCTGCTGTGGAACCGCCTGAGCAATAGTTCTTCTGAAGACCACGCTGGGAAGGCATGGCTCATGCCAGGGCACTGCAAAGATAATACCATAATAGGATTATGTGTCCAGAGGACAGTGCCATTTCCTCTTTAATCTAGCATGACCTAAAGGTCTAAACCCCCACCGTGATCCCCACTGGCTGCAAACTGACGTCCACATGCTGTGCTGCCCAGCACAGATCAGGCCAGGTGTTGGGCTTTGGCCCAGCATGGGAGGGACAGAATCCTGGACCAGACTGAGCCTGCTCACCCTGTTCCAGGACAACCAGGGCTCCCGTAGCTCCTCCTTTGTCGACTGGAGACACCCAGAACCCAGGGCAGGCTTCCTTGCTCTCAGGGCCCCTTCCCCAGGTTCTGCAGTCCCAGTAAAGGCTTGCTACCCTTGCTGGGTAAGTTGCAGTCTCTCTCATCTGAGATTCGCTGACCCCACTCCGGGCATCATTGAGCTCCGAAGTCCATGGTGATTTCCAGAAGGCAGGAGCTGCAGGTCTGGCTTGGACTGAGGTGTAACGCTTTGATCTTTATTGACTCCTCACTGTGAACCGTGCACAGAGGTCTACTTAGGAGTCTGCCCTAGACTCAGGCAGCCAGATCCGTCTGTCTTAGCCTTCCTCTTCCTCACTGCGGGGAGGCCTGTGCCTCCTCCAGCCAATAGGTGCTCCTAAGTCCTGAATCACTGGGTACTCACTCCAGAAGTCAGAGCCTAATTCCTTGATGCCTAGTTGAGCTGAGAACCTGGCTCCCCGGCAGAAGCCCTTTGCGGTGGCTGAGGTTGGCCAACCTGGTCTGTAACTGCTCCCTGACTTCACCTCGGCTGGTGGCAAGGAAGAATGAGTAAGCTTTTGGGAGGAAACAGTACCTGCTCCAGTCTATCTCACAGTCATTCAGAGGCCCAGATGACACATCATGGCAAAGGGGCTGTGCACGGCGGATACTTCCTGCTACCTGTGTTGTGCGGGAATGCGGAAGTACCAAGACCAAGTACCACAGCTTCTCAAGAAGCCTGCAGAGAGCTCTGTTGAAACTTCTTGACTCAGAATCGCAGGTTGTAGGGCCTGAGAACCTGCTTTTAAAATCCCATGGCCATTCTGATAGAAGCCGCCCCGGCCCCTCAGTGGCGATGTCCACACCCCCCTTCTCTTTACTCGGGCTTCAGTCTCTTCGCTTCAAGCTGAATCTTTTCAGTCAAGACACCTGCCTTCGCTGCTGTCTCACACTACCCACATCATTCTCTGCATGAACAATTCAGTTAATTCTTGGAGGTTTGGCCTCAGCAAAGAGCTCCCAGGGAGCCTAAAGAGGGCATTGTGGTCTCCTGGGAAATCCCAAGTGGTCAGATTGGCTGACCACAAGCCCTCTGCCAGAGGCACCACCTACCCTGAGGTGTGTCACCCCAACTTGTGGGCGAAGAAGAGAGAGAAAGAGAGGAAGATGAGGCTGGAAGGCACAGAAATCCAGGGAAGAAAGTAGTAGAGGAGGGAGGCGGAGGTCGTTCCCAAGAATCCAGAAGAGAACGCGGAGAGAATCTTGGAAAAACATGAAGGAAATAATTGGGCTCAGTACAAGTATATTTAATTTCTTAATGACTAAATAAGCAGGTGGGAGGTTGTCATAATTTGATGATATATAATTTTATGGGACATGTATTTCAATTGATACAAAATTTACAATCCATCTTAAGACCACTCAGGAAAGAGGACAAGGAGCTAGATTAAGTATAATTCACATCTTACTGGCTAATGAATGCCTTCGAGTTATGCCTTGAGACTGACATATCCTTGGTGATTACCTCAGCATCCCTAAGAAGACAGGGAGAAAATTGGGCAAGGAAGCTGGCAAGTGTTGAACACTTGTCTGCCCACTACATGCAAAATCGCAGCTCAAGGAGTTGAGTGATTTCTGCAAGATGACGAAGCGGGTAAGCACAGAGCTGGGACAGGAAACCAGAGCTTGTGGCTTGGAAGCTGGGCTCTGTGCATGCTCCCGGAGAGCTGACCCAGAGAACGGACATGACAGGCTATAAATGGGTTGTTTTGCAAATGCAGTGTTTCTGCCCTAAGTGGTCATTTTGATCAGTCAGTTGGGAAGCTTGTGTAGAATGTATGCTGGAGCCCAACATTATGGAAAAGTGCAAAAGGTGGCAAGGAGATGCTAAACACACGGTCCAACCCTAACGCGACGAAAAATCTACAGAAGGAAGTAGTGTTCATTTCTTAAAGAACCTGCAACTCTGTGCTGAGCTGTGCAGCACAAACCGGCAGGAAAAGGGAGTCCACTGGAGGCCTTTGGCGGTAGCGCTGAAAGTGCCCTGCGTGGATGGAGGTGTATGGTCTGTGCAAGATGCTGACAGAGCAAAAGAAAGAAAACCAGGACTCCAGTCACAGAGGAAAATCGGCACCCTGGCACCTCTGAGGAGCTCTGTCAAAGCCCCTTCCCATGAGTCTTCATCTCCGGCCTGTCTGGTGGCTCCCAGGAAGACCCTACCCACAAGACACTTCCTGTCGTCTGGGAGGTCACCCCCTGTGGCTAAAAAAAAAGTCCACAAGGGTCGGTGTATGGCTCACTAGTTAATCCTCCACCTGCGACACCAGCATCCCATATGGGCGCTGGGTTCTAGTCCTGGTTGCCCCTCTTCCAGTCCAGCTTTCTGCTGTGGCCCGGGAGTGCAGTGGAGGCTGGCCCAAGTGCTTGGGCCCTGCACCCCATGGGAGACCAGGAGAAGCACCTAGCTCCTGGCTTCGGATCGGTGTAGGTCCGACCGTAGCGGCCATTTGAGGAGTGAACCAAAGGAAGGACGACCTTTCTCTCTCTCTCTCTCTCACTGTCTAACTCTGCCTGTTTTCTAAGGGTAGACCATAAAAAGTTACGGAACAAAATATCAACGCCAAAGAAAAGAAAAAGGAATTTAATAGATAATGGACAACATCAGAAACTCTGAATTTGGAAATTACAATAACTAAAAAAATTTCACTCAAGGACTCAACAGCAGATGTGAGCAGGCGGAATAAAGAGTTCCTGAGCTTGAAGCTGGACAATTGAGATTACCCAGTCTCAGAAAAAGAAATAAAACAAAATGGAGAAGAATGAACTGAGTCTTAGAGACACAGAGGGAGCCACCAAGCTTATGAGATCTGTGTAATGAGATTCTCGAAACGAGAGGGTCTAAAGGAGGAGCCAGAAATATTTAAAGAAACTGGCAGAGAAGGGACTACAATAATACCTTCCAAATTTAGATTTTATCACTGACAACAGATACTTTTGGTTTCCCTGTTGTGGCAAAGACAGTTTAATTTTGAGGAAATAGGTGTCAGGTACCCACCACTGAATGGCCATCACCTGTCCATTGTTCTTCCAAGTAAAAATTGTACTCAAAGAAGCGACACATTCAGCTGACAAGTTAAATAATCACACAGATGCTTTCCCCCAAGATGACTCTGATCTCAGCAAAATCCCAGCAGAGGTGCTTTGTGCATAGTTTCTGTTTTATTACATGAAGTTTTTTGTAAAAATATTTTTATTTATTTATTTGAGAGGTAGAGTTACAGACAGAGAGGGAGAGACAGAGAGGAAGGTCATCCATCTGCTGGTTCACTCCCCAGATGGCTGGAGTTGGGCAATCCAAAGCTAAGAGCCAGGAGCCTCCTCTGGGTCTCCCACATGAGTGCGGAGGTCCAAGCACTTGGGCCATCTTCCAGTGCACTCCCGGGCCACAGCAGAGAGCTGGATCAGAAGTGGAGCAGCCAGGACATGAACTGGTGCCCTATGGGATGCTGGAGCTGCAGGTGGAGGCTTAGCCGACTACGCCTCAGCGCTGGCCCCTTTCACATGAGTATTACATGAGGTTTTAAAAGAGCTTTTACTGGGAGCCAGAGCTGTGGCATAGCGGATTAAGTCACCATCTGCAGCACCGGCATCCCATGTGGGTGTGGTTTGAGTTCTGGCTGCTCCACTTCCAATCCAGCTCCCTGTTAATGTGCCAGGGAAGCAGGGGAGGATGGCCCAAGTGCTTGGGCCCCTGCACCCACGTGGAAGACCAGGATGAAGCTCCTGGCTCCTGGCTTTGGTCTGACCCAACCCCAGCCGCTGCAGCCATTTGGGGAGTTAACCAGAAGATGGAAGATCTCTCTGTGTCTCTCTCCTTCTCTCTCTCTAATTCTGCCTATCAAATAAATAAAACTAAAAGAGCTTTTAGTGAGTCATCACAATTTAATAAAATTAATCTTTTCGACTGATGCATCAAGGACATTATAAAGTAAAACTTTTTCTAAAAAAAAGATTTATTTGAAAGGCAGACTTACAGAGAGAGAGGGAGACACAGATAGACAGACAGAGAGAGAGAGAGAGAGAGAGAGAGAGAGATCTTCAATCTGCTGGTTCACTCCCCAAATGGCTGCAGAGCTGGGCCAGTCCAGAGTCAAGAGCCAGGACCTTCTTCTGGGTCTCCCACATGGGTGCACGAGCCCAAGCCCTTGAGCCATCTACCACTACTTTCCCAGGTGCATTAGCAGGGGCCTGGATCAGAAGTGGAGCAGCTGGGACTGGAACCAGAGCCCATATGGGATGCTGACAGCATTTTGTTTATTGCTTTTAATTGTAATTGTATGGCAGCAAAGGATTCCGTGACAGCTAATATGTTTGGGATCACTGCCTTGATTCATGCTAAGGCACTGACAGATTCACCGCCTCTGCTTTTTACCATCTGTGTACCTGTCAACACAGGGAGAAAGGCAAATAGTGTTTAAGTATGCTCGCGATAAGAGTTTGGGTCTCATGGGTCCCAGGAAGGGCTCTGGGACCCCTTAGAGGTCTATGGATGCCCCTTGACTCAGTTATTTACCAGGGATACGTCCTCAGCACCCTCTCCCAGAATAGCGCTCGGCTACGGGAGCCTGGAAGATGGGCGCTAGCATGGAGATGCTGCCTGTTAAGAGCGTTTCTCTGCTCTCTTACGGCAGACACTTGGATGTCTTCGGTTTTCCTGGTTTGCAAAGGGGAAAGAAAGCCTATGTCTGGGCTCCCTCCCCGGGGCTTCTGACTCAGTGCCTACTACAGGGCTCTCTGTGCCTTACTTAGGGCAGAAGGAGGCTGGTTCCATCCATCTGAGAGCGCTAACCCAGAAGCTCCTCGGGATCCAGCCCACTTAGCAGCATCCCGTGCTTTGGAGTAAGAACCTGTCGCTCCCCCTCTTCATGGAGGAACGACACTAAACCTGCCTAGGCTTCATATCCGAGTCACGGCACCATTATGTCGCTCCCCGTCTTCGTGGAGGAACGACACAGGACCCTGCGCTGTTCTTTTGTCTGCTCGGCCCTCCCCAGGTTTGCTGCTGGTTCTTCCCGGGTTGGCTACCGACCCTTCCACCTCCGTGGTAGGGTGGTTCCCCCTGCCACATTCCCCACTTCCGCGGGGGAGCGGCACACCGCCGGCCGGCTCTCTCGGGGGCTGCACAGGTGTTCCTTCAGATAGATGTTCCTGGTGCATGTTGTCTCTCTCCTCCTTTATAGTCCTCTTCCACCAGTCCCAACTCTGCTACCTACATACCGAGTACGCTGCTCTACTCCAATCAGGAGCAGGTCCTGCTGTTTATTGGTTGAACTGGAGGCATCTGTGTAGAAGCTGTTTCCTCCTCTCCCAGCGCCATATTGTGGGAGAGCAGATGCATAGAATAAGTCTTAATTCCAGTAACAGTCTAGTCCGAGTTGCTCCCCACAGAACCAAAAGGGACAAGAATCCCCAGGAGCAGCAACCCTGCTGAATAGGACTAGGAAAGCCACGGGCTGGGGAATGAAGGTGACACGTGCCAAAAGGAAGATGCAGAAGCGAGATTTATGTTCCCTAGAGGCCAGCAGAGTCTCTTCGCCCAAACCTCTCGGCTCTAAATCCATGCCTGTCTGTTGTCATCGTAATGCCCAGAGTGTTGTATTTTCACACACGTTGTGTCACTGGGTGCATCCACTGGCACAAACAAAAATAAAAATCACTATGCCCATTGGAGCTGAAAAACAGGTTCCTAGCCCTTGCTGTTGGGAAAAAAAATGGCCCTTGGGGCTATTTCTCTGCTTCCAAACAACTCTCCTATGCTAAACAAGACTAAAATTGCTGGAAAATAAACTGTGACCCCACGAGGCTCCCTGAAGACAGGGCTTGTAGAGGCTGAAGCTGTTGGCTAGAGGGAGCATCTGGAAGCTTCTTTGGAGGCACTCACCGTCCCTCCTGCGCCCAGGCGTTCCGTTTGATTATGCATCCCGCTTGTCAGTGGAGGAACCCAGATCTGGGAACGAAGCATCTGCAGTGTCTTCGCCAGCCCTGCAGCCAGGAATGGGGGGGGGGGCTGGGGGAGGTCCCTGTGGCTGAGAATTTTCCCAGCTTTGTTCCCCATACAGCAGGAAGGCGGAACTGGGTTGGCTTAAGAAATAATTACACAATCACATCCCTACCCGTTCCTTTGCTTCGCTGTAAGCACTAGCTTACCGTCAAGATGTTTTCTTACGCCACCCGTATTCTGTTACCTGCCCAACTGCTGCCATCAGGAGTCTTATTAATTGAATTATGGCGAATAACTCAAAAGATAAAGGCTTCATCTTCTTCAAAGCCCAAAGCCATGTTTGTCAGAAACATGAAAGAATTACAATATTGGAAGCAGTGTTTGGACCATATTTTCTGCAAACAGCTGCCTACATTTCAGAATGAACGAGGACCTTCCTCATACACTTGCCAGTTCAGCTATTTATCCAACAGATTGGTTGAGCCACACATTTCAGGAGCCGAGTGGGCCCTCGGACCTGTGCCACGGTCTCTTTTCCTCATTCACTGTGCACCGTATTTGGCTCAATGTCACCCTTAAGGCTACCATTGCTGCTGGCTTCCTGCTGGGTTTGACCAGAGTGCAGGAGGTTGGATCGTGGGAATAAGGAAGAAGCCAGCCTAAGGCGGAGTTGCTAGCAGTGGCTGCACCTCTTTTGAAGCTCCCTCTGGCTGTCCGACCTCTGCCCTCTGACCTGTGGTTCAGAACTGCTATCGGTGCAGCTCCCTTGGTCCCTGCGGCCCAGGAGAGAGATTCCTGCTGCCATTAGCCTCAGGTGACCTCACTGTGCCCTGCTTGGCTCACTCATCTGTGTAGCCCTGCACTAAATGCTTGCAAATGGCTTTTGCCTTCTGGTTAGACCTCCGTGGGGTGGGGACAGAGATGAGGTGCAGATGTTGGAACTGAGACCCAGAGGAGAGGTGGTTTGCTTTCAGCTACAGTTATGGTTTACCTTTGGTGTGAGTGTGTCTCCCCCTCACCCCACAAAGGTTTGTGTGCTGGGTAGCTTGGTCCTAGTGTGGTCATATCTAGAGAGGGTGGGTGTCGCTCGCTCCCTGACTCGCGGAGGAACGACACCGGACCCTGCGCTGTTCTCTTTGCCCGGCCCTTCCCGGGTTTGCTGCCACTCCCCCCGCCCACCCCCAACCCCCCGCCTCTGCGGAGGGGCGGCACACTGCCGGCCGGCTCTCTCAGGGGTTCCTCAGATGTTCCTCCTGCATGTTGTCTCTCTCCTCCTCTATAGTCCTCTTCCACCAATCCCAACTCTGCTGGCATTCTCTCCCCATGCACTGAGCACGCTGCTCTCCTCCAATCAGGGGCAGGATCAGCTCCTGCAGCTTGTTAGTCGAATTGGTGAGGCAGCTGTGTGGAAGTTGTTCACTCCCTCTCAGCGTCATATGGTGGGATATCAGATGCACAGAATTAGTCTTAATAATCTCAGTGGTCTAGTCCAGTCTCGGTAGTTTCAGTACTTATTTGTCTCCCGGGCGACGGGCCCTGCTGTGTTACGGGAGACGGGCCCTGCTCCCCACAGG